CACCCTGCCCCTAAGCCCCAGCTCACCCCATGGGCCAGAGGCTCCTTTCAGAGAAACTCACCAGCATGGCCACGGGGCGACTGCGAACTCTGAGCCTGTCCGCTCTCCCCAACTCCAGGTCCCTGCCCAGCAAGGGCAGCCTTGCCTCTGGGCCTGGGACTCAGGGACATCACAGCCATAGCTCCTGCGTAGACACTGCACAGGCCTGTGAGCTGACAAAGCACGTCCGTGTTTCCAATCCCATCAAACCCTCACAGCCCTGTGAGGAGGCAGAGCACACACGGCAGCCGCAGCCCCGAGAGGCAGGCGGCTTGCACAGGGTCCCATGGCCAGGCCAGGAGCAAGAGGAAACCCCAGGTCTCCCGTCCTCCAGGAGCAGGCCTTCTCCTCTCGGCCTCAGTGGCCCTTTCACAGCCTGAGCGTCCTGTCCGGAAGGTGGGCACGCTGAGCTGTGCGGGGCCTTCAGGAGGTTTCATCCAGGGGCGCCCCCAAGTCCTAGGTCACCTCACACGCAGATTTGTCATGAGTTCTCTTGAAAAAAAAATCACACTTGGGTTTGGGCAACATCGGCTGCAGATTCATGAACATTGGCTATTTCTCCTTCCTCATCACAAGGAGGCAGACACCAAGAATCAGGCAACTGTCACTTTCAGTTCTCCCTCGACGCAGGCACAGAAAGCACTGTGCTCAGGGCCAAGCCTTCAAGTTCTCGTTCAGCTGCCTCAGTTGTGTGGCTTTGGGGGAAGTAGCTCAGCTCCCTGGCCTCCGTTAGTCATCTTTAAAATGGGAATGATGCCGCCACAACCACCATTCCCATCTGTGGGAGCCATGCAAGAGTCACCGGATACTCAAGGTCAATTAGTGAGTGAAGGCAATGCTGTTAGCACGCCGATGGCCAAGGCCACTCTGAATATGGGAATCCTAATCAGTATGTTCAAGGCTAAGATGCCATACACAGGTGCAAGGACAGCAATCTCACGGTACACTGTGCACATGTGCCTTTCTGTAGCCAAAATATGATGTCACTATTAACAAGAGGCCTCTTTTGTCTAAGTTCTATAATCCATGTGACTGACCAGCTAGAGTGGTGCGGAAAAGGGGGAAAGGCTGGAGAGGTTGGAGAGAGGCTACTGAGGCTGCTGAGGTTAGGAGCTCAGGGGCCGCTGCTATGTGAGACGGTAGGTCTAGAGGCAGCGTGCGGCTGCTCAGATAATGACTGTGGTTACAGAGGCTACTGCTACTTTGTGGTAAAGATGTATTTGTTTATCAACTGGTGTGCAACTGCCTATTGAGACTTTGTTGTGAAGAACTGTTTTGTCTGATGGCCATATGGCCACTGGCTCCTACAGTAAAGACTCCTGCTTATACACCCACAGCTTCTCATGGCTTCTCTGTCTACCACCCGTCTTCCAAGAATGTCCAGCCCCTGACAGAGGGGCTCAGCCCTGATAGTTAGCATAGTAGGGCAGGATCAGGACCAGTGCTCCTACACTTGGACCAGCAGGCAGGATGGGGCAGTGAGTGCTCTCACACCTGGTGCTGTGAGGAGGATTTAGGAGTAAGTACACCAAGAACTAGGTCCTGCTTTGACACTTGGCATAGCCGTTAGCAGAATTCAGAAGAATATACGGACTCAGAACAGCTGTGCTCTGACACCATCTCAACATGCCCCGAGCTCCCTGCTTCACACCTGGGGTGTTAGATCCTCAGCTTCCCTTTTAGCCCCTCCCGGAAAAGAGAGGGCCCACTCGGGTCCTCTTCCTGATGTCAAAACCTCCAGCTCCTGGTCCCAGCTCAAGCCCAGTTTGCCCAAAGCCAAAACAAGGAACTCCCTTCAACAGCATATGGTGTCTGAGAGTTAAAATAATGCATTGTTTCATAGATGGGAACATCATTATTTCCTCAGCTTTGCACAGTGTTCCAGTGTGCCAAGCGCTTCACCTCAAGCATCTCACAGAAATCACACGGGGTAGCGGGAGGGGGTGGTCTCCCCGGGGTCCTGCCATGGGTAGCACGGGAGGGGCTGAAAACAATGGCTCAGGACTCATGGGTGACTGTTCTTTCCAAACATTCATTCTGAAATAGCAAATATGAAAAGAGAAAGGAAGAGACGTCAAAAGAAACTAGTACGTTTGGTGAAAAAAGGGCTGATATAGTGCCGGAGCCCGCCGGCACTACTGTCGAACAGTACCTGAAAGAGGGGTGAGGATTAAGAAAAGAGACAGACACAAAGATGGGATCGGGAGGACTGACAGTTCAAGACTGCAGCCCCGAGTTTATTTCACACAGTCTTTTTATACATTCACTGGTTACATATGCACTTAGCAGAACTTAAGCAACTTTCGATTTGATCAGCGCAAGCATCTCCTCTAACAGTCTCAGCCAACTTCCTTTTTTCCAATCTTTCATCTCAGTCGGCAGCTGAGACCGACTTTCATGATCTAAGCTCAGCTAGACTACTTCCTTATTCTCACAAGCTATACTGCTGCAATTTTCCTGCTTATTTGGCATTTAGCAAGCTAAATCAGTAACTTGAACTTTAGTGGGATAGAGCGTGTGACAGCCCACCTTGTGAAAGACTGTCTCCTCGGGACCTTGTCAAACCGAGACCGCTCCCCACAATATAGCCGAACAGAAAGCCTCACCTACAGGTTCTGCTGAGGGGAACCCAGAGTGAGCAGAAGCATGTGTGTGTGTGCTTCTGTGTGTGTGTGTGGGGGGGGGGGGGGGTAGACAATAAAAAGAATCAAAGCAATCGCTTTTTTAAAGCTTTTCTCTATTTCAGACATTGTACAGAGGTTTTACATTGGAAAATCCCATGTAATCTTCAAAACAACCTTATCAGATAGGTGCTTATCAGAAAGTAGGGTAATAGAGCAATGTTATAGTAATCATTATGGTACTTAATGTTAGGACTTTAGAATGTAAGACTTAAAGCATGTAACCCTTTGTGGACTGTTATAGTGATTATTGTGATGTTAGATATAGGAATGTTGTATGAGACCCAGGAATGCATCCTCTTGGCTTTGCTTAGTACTGATAAACAACCTATCTGATGGAACGCTCAAAGCCTGTACACACCCATAGATTAGCAGACCCAGGGTAGATCCACATATGGCAGCTGCTGATAACACACACACCAACGAAGACCACGTCTACAGAGGGGTATATAATCAGGCAGTCTGATGGACCCAGCAGCTCATAGCTCTCCTGTCGCCAGAGCGTGAGGACCTCTGTGTGCTCACGTCTGGGTTTCCAGCACGAAACTCTGCCCAATTAACTGTTGATCGATGAAAGAGCCAGCAGCCAATGGTGCCGTCTTCCCCTTTGTGTGTGTCAGCGAGCATCGACCGGTGGATCCTTCCCAGCACCTGAGACCCATCAGGAACTGGTAAATAAACCCCCTGTGTGCTTGCATCTAACCTGTTTGTCTGTGTGTAATTTCTCCGGCTCAGCTCAGATCTCGGTGCTCTCTCTGTGAAAGTGTCTGACCAGAAGGTGTTGGCACAAGCCTCAAGCGGATGGTCCAGACGACTTGTGCATGTCCCACTTAGGAGCAGCACCTATATGGGAACCCCCCACACCCCGACATAGGTGACGGGTCTTAAATATATAAAAATAGAAACTTATTTGGGACAAGCAACCACCAAATAACTGTTCTGGTTATATAGGATCCACAGGGATAAAGGAGAAATAACATGAATCATAACAATAAGAAAATGTGAAACCAAAGCAAACAGAAATGAAACAAGGGCGGGGATTGTACTTAAGCAACAAGATGTAAAATCAAAAGAAACGAGTGTCATGCAAGAAACAAAGGTGAATTCAGAAATTGGTAAAAACACATGGACAGATTTAATTGTTTGCTAAATAATTCTATTTAACTACTGTATAATTACTAAATAATTTCTAGACCAAAAGACATGAGGATTCTGTGAATAAAGTATACTACCTGGTAGAGAATAGAAATAGTGAATAACCTTTGACTTTCTTAGAAAAATTAATAGCAAAATAGAAATGCCAAAAATATAAAGGTCATTGCTAAAAGAACAGTAATACTTTATAGTTTCCAAGTCAACAGGAGTAGGGAGGAATGGAAAAAAAATAACTAACCATCTAATGACAGTTTAAAAGTAGGGAAACAGGAGTAAAGAAAAACATAAATAAGTTGGCAGACACAGTACAGCAGTAATCACACAAAAAGGTTAGCAGTTAAACTCACCCGTTAAAGAACAGACTACCAGTTTAGATTTTTTTTAAATCCAACTACACTGCCGAAACCGGTCTGGCTCAGTGGATAGAGCGTCGGCTTGCGGACTGAAAGGTCCCAGGTTCGATTCCCGTCAAGGGCATGTACCTGGGTTTCGGGCACATCCCCAGTAGATGTGCAGGAGGCAGCTGATCGATGTTTCTCTCTCATCGATGTTTCTAACTCTCTATCTCTCTCCCTTCCTCTCTGTAAAAAATCAATAAAATATATTTAAAAAACAAATAAATCCAACTACATGTTGCTTACAAGTGACAGAGAAAATTTGAAATAAAGAGAAAATAAAAAAACAAGGCCAGGCAAATATTAAAGGAAAGCAATACTAATATGAGAAAAAATTTAAGGCAAAAAAAATTAAAAGAAATAAAGAAGTACAATACATCATGATTTTAAAAACACTCCACTGAAGAGATATAACAACCACGAACTTCTATCATCTAAATATCCTGTCTCAAAATACAGAGAGTAAAAACTGGAAGAATTACTAGGAAATATTGATAAGTACCCAAATGCAGAAGAAGAGCTTAGTGCATTCACCAGAAACAAATAGATCAGGCAATAAGAAAAAAGATCATTTGAACCACATAATTAAAAGATTGATCTAACAGAGAAATATGTAACCCTGCTCCCAAAAAGCATGGACTGTAAATTTTTTAAAAATATTTTATTGATTTCAGAGAGGAAGGGAGAGGGAGAGAGAGAGAGAAACATTATTTTTATTTGGAGCCTCCCGGCTGGTGAACTGCAAATGGGTTGTAAGTATGGACCCCTCAGACTGAAGCCCCAAGGCCAAATCCCCCCAGCTCGGAGCAGCTTCTTGGGTTTAACCACTTTACTTCCACATGCCGTTTTCTAAGTGAGCCACAAAGTGAGAATCTTCAGAACTGCCATGTCCATGGTCTGCCCTGTGCTGTGTCTGGCTTCAGGACGTGTGAAATCCCACTGAGTTAAAAAGACTTACTGTAGATTCTTTTGCCAGTGTTTGATTTAGGATAGTTTTATCTAATTTTGTTTTTTTCATTAGTCTAAAATATCTTTTTTTATAGTTAAACTCAAAATTATAAGCATGTGGAGTAATATGTATTATTGCCCTCGTCCAGTGAAACCGTTTATATAAATGTGACTACTCTCTGCGCTTTGGGAGAACCCAGTGATGAGGGAGGGAGGGAGGACAATAGGAAAAGTGGGAGGAATAAAGGGAAAATGAGGCCCCTAGGTGGTGCGTCTAGAGTACAATGTGTTCACTGTGGGCACACACAAAGCAAAAGGGACTCTCTAGGGAGGGAGGAGATAGAAAGGGGCCTGGCTGGGAGAGGAAGACTGAAAGCTCTAAGGCAGTGGTTCTCAACCTTCTGGCCCTTTAAATACAGTTCCTCATGTTGTGACCCAACCATAAAATTATTTTCGTTGCTACTTCATAACTGTAATGTTGCTACTGTTATTAATCATAATGTAAAGATCTGATATGCAGGATGGTCTTAGGCGAACCCTGTGAAAGTGCCGTTCGACCGCCAAAGGGGTCGCGACCCACAGGTTGAGAACCGCTGCTCTAAGGGATGGGGCTGTGGGTTGGGGGAAGAGATGCTGAAACAACCACAGGCCAGGGGTGCTCATATGGCCACACTGTTTTCCACTCTGCTGGGTCGCAGGTACTCGTAGGGCATATCCAGCTTTGCATTCCGGACCTCAATTTCCTCATCCAGGGCAGCCAGCTCCTCCCTGAACTTCTTCAGCGCAGCTTTGGGCTCAGGGCCTGAAAAATACTCCTCCTCATGCTGGCCCAGAGCCACCTGAGATGGAGAGAGAAAAGCAGCTGAGAGCCTTATGAACCCCAGTTTGGAGCGCCACACCTCCCCATAGCTGCCCCCTTCCTCAGGGACCAGGCCACCCGGCTCACAATAAAGGGCTGACGTCTGCCCAGTTGCCAGGTAATGGACATCTGGAGAGCAGCCTGATGAAAGTTGGGCAGTGTGGCCATCACCATCTCCAGTGTCACATCCTTGGTGGTCGGTGGGGGCAGCCGCATTGTGCAGGGTGCGTTAGGGACCCAAGCATACCAATCCAGCTAAGAAGGGGCAGAAATCCAGAATCAAAGTCTGCTAAGCATAAAAACCCCTTAGCCACCTGCACACAGCTCCCTCCACCCACACTCCAGTGCAAATGCCCACTGCCCCCCTATAACAAATACCTGGCCCAGGTGGACAGAGGCATGCTGGCCAGTGCAGGTGAAGATGCACATGGTGACAAAGTGGCAAAGCTGGTCCCGAGTCTCTAAGGACATGGGAAATCCTGCAAGAGGCAAGGAGAGTTAGAAGCTGGGAGGCCAGGAACAGAAACAGAGCTCAGAGAGGCTGAGCAGAGAGAATACGAGAGGGAAGAAAGGGTGTCAAGGACTCTTGAGGAACTATTGTGGGAACTGACATGAGCATGAGTTGTGGTGGGAGAAAGGGGGACATCTCCTGGGAGGGTCCTACTCATTGGGGTACTGGTATGGCTCACACTGGCTCACACAAGTCAGTTATGTTAAATGTTGCAGTATTTAGCAAGCTGGTTGACATCACAACAGTAGCTACGGTGAAAATATTTACACCAAGGAAATGTGCAAATGCTACAAATCAGGGCTTCTACCCCCACCCCCCCAGAGAGTCAGTTGTTAAGCATTTATGAGCAACTACTGGTTCCACTGCATCTGGGACCTAGAGGGATTCTTCTTGCATAAGAATCTGAAGAGGCCATGGGCATTTTTATAGGGGTTGGACATGCTTCTGAAAAGTTTCATAGAAGCAGGGAGGGTTCTGGGGATGTTCCCAGGAGGAATCTTCCACACTGGAGGTCTCAGGGCAGGGGCTCAACTCACCTTGGTCCTGGGCCCCTAGCAGGCCAATCTCAGTGATCTCTCGACACCAGGTCTGCAGTTCAAGGTCCTCTTTCACCGCCTTGTCTGTCTTATAGTGAAGACTCACAATTCCCTCCACATAGCTGTCAGCCAAGGGGTTGGGCCAAGAGAGCTGAAGCTGACAGGGAGCTCCAAGCCCTCTGCTCCTTGCCCACATGGCCAGGTCAGGGCACCCAGCCCTCCAACACAGATCACCTGTTCTCTCAAGCCACTCCCTGACCGCCCACCCTCCCCCCAAGCCCTGCCTTCCCCTTGCCTCACCGATAGATGATTTCCCAGAGCCGCAGAGCATCCTGAGCATAGTAAGAAGACTTGACTCCCAGAAGCCCCCGGTCAGTCAGGTCATCGGGGGGACAGAATGATCTATAGGTTAAAGAGGTTCTAGCGCGCTTAAGCAGCTCCACGTGGCCTCCCCCACCGGTGCTCACCACCTGAGAAGCAAGGATGGGCAGGGTCAGGCAACTCCACCTGCCAGAGGCCAGAGCCAGAGGGAGCATGAGCTCCAGGAGCCCTCTTCTCTCTTCATACCTGGTCAAAAACGCCCATGTCGGAGACCAGCCCATTCCTGGCCCGAACATTAATTTCCATGGTGTATCGCAGGTGGGGGATTATCAGCTGGAGGAAGAAAGCGGGGAAGAACAAGTCAGGAGAGACCTGCGGCGAGTCCCTGCAGGAAAGTGGAGCTGAAGAACAGGAAGGGTGCCCAGTCTTCAGGAAAAGCAGAGACATGAAGTTCAGTGGTCCCTCGACATCAAGAATGTTCAGTCAAATTGTAATTCATTCCACAAACCGTTGGCTTAGTAGGTGTACTGGTTAATAATGTGGATTTTTTTCAATAGATGGAGTTATACATATGTTGATGTATATGCGATTTGATATGTATGCTATTTTGTTGTATTGACAACAAGCTTCAAAACTTCATATGTCAAATTTTCTGAAGGTGTTAACATCATAGATATTTTTTTGCTCTGCTTTGATTCTCTGCATTGTACGTATCACAGCTGATGTGTCATAATACAGTCTTTATTGACTGGTAGCCCGAAATGGAAATGAAAATCCCCAAAGATCAGGACCTCTGTCTGGCTTAGCACAATCATCGAGAATGGTTCTTGCCCCATTGGAGGCACCCAAGAAGAACAGTTAATGGGTGAATACTCAGTTAAATTGTCTGATTAAAAAACAACAACAACAAAAACAGGCCACTGTTGTGGACCTGAGCCAGTCTAACTGGCCTGTGTGTTACTATTTTAGAACAGGTCAAAACTGGCTGGAAAAGTCTTCTATGTTATTTGCTTGGTCTTCCCTTTTGCGATGGAATCCTCAGTCATTTGTGTGCACTGTCTATATACTGTCTGTTCATCTATCTGTGCTTTACACATAAAAAGAGCAACACTTCTCACCTCCCACCCCCTCAACACCCACCTTGCCAATGAATCATTCCCACCTCCTTGAGAGGTGATGTCACACTGTTGAAAATGCAGAGCAAGACACCTCACTCTCTTGCTCCCTTGTCTCTCATTGGTTGGCTTTTCCCCACACCCTGAGGTTCCACAGAGAGGGTGCCTCCAGAGGCAGGACTGTGCCATGGGGCAGAGAGGCAGGCAGGAGAGAAGGGGATAAGGTATTACCTTGAAGATAGGGTGTATCGATGGAAGGCATCTCATGGTGGCCATAGCGATAACCTCAGCCATCAAATGTCCCCTCAGAAGATGAGAGAGAAGCTCGTGAAGCTGGAAGTCAGAGCTCCGGACCCAGCATTTGGCCAGGAGCCAGGCCATTGGGGGGTCCGTGGGCAGGAAAAGTGGTGGTGGTGGGGATCCCATGCGTGGCAATTGGAGCTGGAGAGAGGATAGAGTGTGGGGGAAAGAGGATGAGTGGCCAGGTGCCCAGCAGATTCCCCCCCTTTTGCATATTTAACCGCTCCCTTCTTCCCCAAATTTGCTTAGCTTTCTCCATCTCACTGCTGCTATTCCCAGGAGCCACTATTTCTTCTCCTGACTTTCCTACCCACTCAGTGCATTAACATTGTACATGCTGCTCTGCTGGTCTTCCTGGCCTCCACTTGCCCTTTCACTCCCCTCAGTGTAGACAAGATTCAATCCCTCTGCTTCCTTTATCCCACACTTTTTCAGAAAGTTCAGCTTCTCTCTAATCTTTCAACACCACCCCTATTCATCTGATTAAGTCTCTAGTTCTCAAGCTGCTCTGTCTGGCCTGTACAATGGGCAATTGCTGTAACATGACACCCTAATCCCTGAATCTAGCATCTCCCTTCTCTGATCCATCTGAAACAAGATGACCCATAGAATGTGCCTATAGCATGTTTCACAACAGCCTACACCAGCTTCCTGTGTTCATACTCCTTGATTTGGTATCCACCGGCCACTGCAGTCTGGGCCCTCTCACCTCACATTACCCCCCAGCACACCAGCCCAATTGTCCATTGACAATCTAACTTATCACACTCTGCACACCTCAGCCTCTCTGCCAAACCCATCTTCCCCTGGGAAAAGATTCTGCTCCTTCGCCAAGGCTCATGCCCACCCCACCTCCCATGACCCCTCCCACACTATCTCTATCCTCAGGTACTTCCTTGGTACTGGAGCATATTTAGATTTTCCCAGTCTCTCTCTCTCCAGCTACACCACACCTTTCTGCCTTTGCCCATTGCCTCCTTTGCTGCCACCTCCAGTGCTTTAGCACAAGTGAATCCTCAGTGAATTTCTGTGAAGGGCTGAGCTGAGAGGGCCAATCACGGGGGAGCAGAAATCCTCTCACCTGGATGACCATGGGCAAGAGTTTCCCATCAGGCTGCAGTTTGAGCATGACCAGAGGGGCAGCCAGGTATTGCTGGCTACATAGGATGACGTTGGCCTTGATCCCATCCAGCAGGGAGAAGTCGGCTTCAAACAGCGTGCCTCCCTGGATGGGGGCAGAGGGCGAGGGCTATCAGTGTAAGGCATCTTCTTCCCACCCTGATTGCCCAAAGGAAGAAGAACAAGAAGGAAACTAACCTATCTCCATCACCTACTTTGTACAGGCAATGAATCACATGCTATTGCTTCACATAAGTCTTTCAAGCTCTTGAATTAACTCCAGGTTTATAAAAAAAAAAAAAAAAGGAAACATGATAAAATAAGATAGGTAACTTGCCTGAAGTCACACAGTTTATAAACAGAACAGCCAGGGTTCAAACCCAAGTCTGTCTCACCCTATAATCCAAGAATTTTCTCTGCCTAACTCATCAATTAATCCATGTTGACTCTTGATTAATAAGCCCACCCCTGATCTCATTCTCTTGCTACACACTCCCCCAAATCCTTAGCACCGAGGCCCAGTTATTTCTTCATTTTGATTGCATCTATCACCCATCACACACTTCCTCCACAATATGCTTTTCTCAGTAGAGGAGAAAGGCCATGTGGTTGCACACCTCCAGGATCACTCAAGATTCCTCCTATAGAATCCCCTCTTGCTTCAGGGGGCAAATTGGGCTCATAGTGGGGCCCAGAGCAGCATAAACACTGACCACACTCCCATTTCACTGTGTGGCCTCCTTTGGGCCATTATGTCCATACCTGCAGCTCCTGCTCCAGCTGGGCCTGCACCTCCTCCATCCCAGAAGGGAACACCAGGCGGGCAGGAAGGCGACTGGCGCGCCTTAGCAGCATGGGGTTGGTGCAATTGAGAAACTGGTACCCAAATAAGGCATTTTCCTTCCAGGAGTCCCGCACCTTCACTGAGGGTGGCAGTTGTGGAGCAGGTTGTGAGATCTGATATCCTGGTTCTTCTAACCCCCACCAAACCATTCCCTCTTGCCCCCAGCCCACCAGAGGAACCCAGACCTCAGGTCTCCCAGCCCTGGTTCGCTCGATTGGGTGGTAATGGTCCTGGGAGAAGTACTGGGATAGGAATACTGACCAGCCAGCTGGCTGTGGTCACACCAAAAGATCTTGTTGAAGTCATCCAGGTCATTCCAGGGAACAAGAACGTTTAGAGAGTCTTTGATGGCTAATTTGGCCAGCCTTCAGGTAAGGATAGGCGAAGGGTTTGACAGTTAGTCTCAAAATCACACATTGTAACTATAACCACCACCCTTGGGCTAATCCAGCCCTGTTCAGTCCATTGGAGCCCCTGGACCAGGATGCCTCCCTCTCCTCCAGGTTTATTAAAAAAGAAAAAGAAAAAGAAAGAAACATGATAAAAGAAGATAGGTAACTGGCACTGCTCTCACCCCTTGGCCAGTGAAATCTCAAAGTCAGTTCTCTTGTCCTCCAGAAACCTCTCATCTGGCAGGTCACCTAAATTGGCTGCAGCCACATTCAGGATTAACCCATCCTTCCAGTTACCCCATCTGTGGTGCAGAAATGAAATCAGGCGTTGATTCCAGGAAGGGCCAGGACTCACTGCCAGGTCAGGAGGGGTCAGGGTGGGGTAAGGCTAACCAGTACAGCTTTATGATTTAACTAGAAAATATCCACCTACAAATGGCCAAAATGCAGTTTTATTTGTGTGCCTAAATTAATTTTTGGCATGCAATAAAAATAAGAAAAATGCCAGGTCTAACATTAAACTGAATGAATGAATGGAAGCATATCTTGATTTGGAAATCAGGAGATTCTAAGGAGAAGCACAAATAAATTCTCTTAAAAACAATTAAGGAATTAGAAATTTTAGAGACTGTCTCTGAACTCTTGTGAAGCTAATAAATGCCACCACCCCATTCTTCCCCTTTCTCTAGCTCCCCCACTATATCCTTCGCCCTTTCCCCTCCCTTCTTCCTTCCCCTTCAGTCCCCTCCACTGCCCTTCCCTACTGACTTAAAGAAAAATGAGAATAGGAATTCTAACAGCTCCCTTTGGAGAAAAGCTGCTCTCAGCAAGAGAGGAACCAGCAATTGTTCCAGATTTTCTCAATGACCCTGATGGGTTCACAAAGGCATTTAACTGTTAGAACATGCAATCCTGGCTATTCTAACCAATTCCAATTAATATAGCTAATGGTTTCTGCCAGCAAATGCAACACACTTTCTAAATAAGGTTTGCAAGAAAATTCCTGTAGAGAAGTCTGTCCACTATTAGAATCATAAGAAACTGAAATAGGATTTATAAAAAGGAAAATAACAACGACACAAAAACAACCATAGCATTGATCCAAGGGTGTTTCCCCTTCTCACTGATAGTTTGGGAGCAGGTGAAATTATCACAGAAAGAGAAGCCACTAAGACCCCTGTAGATACTGGGGCTACTTTATTTGTTCCTAACCACATCCAGCTAATTGTCTTCTCCTTCAGAGTAAAGCTTCTGTGCAAATGGCAGGAATATTTAACCAATGTCTGTTTTTAATCAAAACCTGTTTCCAACTAGGGAATGTTATAGCAATATTAGCAAATATCTATCTTTGCTAATAAAATCTGCCCCAATTCAACTGATAGGGAGAAGTGTTTTGTTTGTTTGTTTGTTTGTTTGTTTGTTTTATGAGATCAGTGATACCCACACATGCTTTTTCCAGAAGGGTAATATTCCAGAAGGGTATTTAGGAATAAATGAACAAGATACTGAGCCCAACAGAGCCTGAGATGAACCCAGCAGTGTGTCCTCAAAGTTGGGGTCCTGGCTGCACCCAGGTTTCCTCAGGGGCTCTGGAAAGGGATCTGCTGGTGGCATCATGCACAGACATGAAGAGGCATGGGGGACATGGTGAGCATTCAGCAGGTAAGATGGGCATTTGGCCAGTATTTGTCTGAAAAGGAGCCCAGAGTTGGAACCACATGCATGCACCTCTGTCCAATACCCACCCAGGGTGGAGAGACCTGGGCCCCTTTGTTCTGAGCTCAGGCTTATGCTGAGGAAGATCAGAGAGTGAAAGGGAATGGCTACCCAGATAAAATCCTTCCCAGCTGCAACCTCTCGCAAAGGGAACTGGCCAGCCATCTGTGAATTCAATTGGTGGCAGTCATGGGGGCGGAGATTCGGTGGAGCGCACAGAGGAAGGTGGATGGTTAGAACTCTCAGAGGGTAGGTATAGCGTGAGGTACAGGTTTCTATGTCAGAGTCGTAAGGGGGGGTGAGAACGGGAGAGGTGGGGATGAATGATCCTGGGCAGGCGAATAGGTTGGGGTTGGCAGAGAAGGACCCCAGCCGCTTCTCAATTGTACTCAGATGCTACAACCTCCCAGGGGCCTGTGAACGACTGACTGGGGAAGCAGGCGGGAGTGGGGGCGGGGTTAGTCACCCAGCGGCTTGAGTTTCCCCGCAGCCCTGGGGCAGGTGGAAGAGGGGAGG